ATGATACATGATGATGAAACATGATGATGATACATGATGATGATACATGATGATGAAACATGATAATGACATCATGATACATGATACACTAATGCCAAACATTACCCTTAACCAGGACGAATGTGAAGAGCAGCTTGCTGTAGCCATGCCTGCACTCAACGCTGCCATAGCAGCTCTGGACACTCTCAAGCAGCAGGACATCTCGCTGGTAAAATCCATGGCGAATCCGCCAGCAGGTGTCCGTATGGTCATGGAGGCTGTCTGTATTCTCAAGGTACGTGACACTATCGTCTCCAGACAATATTCTGCTCTACATTTGGTTTCCGTCAGGAATAGGTCATTGTAGACAGTTGGTCATTCTTTACAATCTCGTACCCAGAGCCTGCGTTTCTTCTGGCGTGGTTCTTTGCGCGCACATGCTGTGTGCCGGTATACTGAAAAAGAAGGGGATTCGTTCGYGTTCTGTTCGGTATATTAGGCGTTAGATGACAAAATTTGTTTTGGTAGATTGTTTGATAAATTGTTAACCAGAAATCTATTGGACAATCCAATTAAACATATGGTTTAAATGAATGGTACATTTAAATCGCAATGGCAATGTTAATAAACATTTATGTTCACCTATTCAAACGCGGAATTCAAGTTATATATTGTATATATTATTTTCTGGTTGGCTTAATGCGTCAAAAGAAAAACAATTGGAAGGAGTTTACTATACTGTAGCAAAAAGTAATTTTTTTAAAAGTTTCAGAAATGGAACATAGCTAGATGGAGTACGATGATGTAACATCCGTTTCAGCTTATGATTGTTTGTTTTCATCCACAGGGCGTCAAACCAGAGAAGAAAGTTGTGGACGGAAAACAAACCGAAGATTACTGGGCTTCGTCCAAAAGGGTAACAAGCTTTTATAGATATAACCCATGCCAGAAAACAAGGGGTTGGGGGGAGGGGTAAGGCACTTGTTTCTTGCACCGGGACTGGTATACGCTCTTGAAACATTTTAGAGGCTTCAACGTTATTCACATAGTTATTTCTTTTTCTTTTTTTCTTTTTTTCCCCTATAATGCAACTATTTATTAATCCATTTTTGGCAATTGTTTTCGTCTACGACTTTTGGATACCCTGCAATAAGATGCAATAAGATGCAATAAGGGCTTTATCTGTTTAGCTTTTCCATTTCCATCATATCATTTCAGCTCCTTGGTGACCTGAAGTTCCTTGAGCAGCTTAAAGTCTTCGACAAGGACAACATTCCACTAGCATCCATGAGGAAAATCCGTGAGAAGTACGTTAGTAATCCTGACTTCCATCCGTCACTGATCAAGAATGTGTCGTCTGCATGTGAAGGGCTGTGTAGCTGGGTTAGGGCTATTGAAGTCTATGATAGGGTAGCCAAGGTAAGATACTATACAAAATACTTGTTATTCATTCTGTTTAGTTTTCATATAGAGAAGAGGCCTCGTCTTYGTTGTTGTTGTTGTTGTTGTATTGATGTTTTCTTGCTTTTGCAGTTGTTTTATGTTATTAGGCAGATTAAGATTCCCGTTTTTCCTTCCCGCAAACRGCAAACGCGACCACGTTTTCATCGTTTCMCTATATTTCACTTTACCTTTTGCAAACCCTCTCGACAAAGACAAGTATTTTTTCATCTTTACRAGTATTCTTTTGTTTACCTACTACTTGGAGATTCCTTTTCACTAATTTTAAAGAATTTTTTAATGGCCAACTGACATTTCACGTTTGCCGTAAACGAGAATCTTAAACTCTCTATCTCTCTATCTCTCTCTTGCTGCGTTGCTCTTGTTGTTATTTCTTTTGCTGGTTTTGCTGTTGTTGTCGCTGCTGTCGTTCTTGTTAAAAGTGCGTTTCATCTGTTGCTGTTGTTGTTGTCGCTGCAGCTACTGTTGTTGCTGCTGTTGTTCCTTAGATCTGTYCTTGATGATGTTGTGTTTCATCTGTCCTTGGTGCCATCGTCGCCTTCGTCTTCGTCGTTGATGTTGTTTCTTCGATCTCTTGCTGATGATGTTGTGTTTCATCTGTCCTTGGTGCCATCGTCTGTTCGTGTTGATGTTATCTTTCTGATGTTGTTGTTGTTGCTTCTGCTGTTCTTGCCGTCAATGTCGTTGTTGTTCTTACTTTTGTTTTTGGTTGTCGTTTAAAACCATTGTCTTCTCTCAGCTTGTAGCACCCAAGAGGAAACGTCTTGCAGAAGCAGAAGCAGTCCTTGAACAGCAAATGGCAAACCTGAACGAGAAAAGAGCAAAACTTAAAACTGTGATGGATAAACTGGAGAACTTGAACGACGACTACAAGGCCAAGATAAACAAGAAAAAGGTTTAAGCATTATCAAAGGAATTCATGTTTTAAATATAAAATACTGAACATCATAATGCAACAAAAAGTAAAAGGATTACCTTTACTTCATTCCTTCCTTCCTTTCTTATTTCAACCCTTGCCTCATTCTCCCTTCCCCTCTTCTTTTAATCACTCCTCCTTTTCTCCCTCCTTCCCTCCCTCCCTCCCTCCCTCCCTCTCTCCCTCTCTCCTTCCCTTCCTTCTTTCGTTCCTTCACCTTTTCTTTCCTTCTATTCCAGGAGTTGGAAAGAAACATTGAGTTGTGTTCCAAGAAACTCCTCAGAGCAGAGAAGCTCCTTARCGGTCTTGGCGGTGAAAGAACAAGATGGACCCAAGTATGATTCATTGACAACTAATAATTAATAATCCAATAATAAACTAATAAATTTATCATTTTCATTAGGTTGYCAAAGAGCTTGAAGAGACGTACACCAACATAGTTGGAGATGTGTTATTATCTGGGGGAATCGTGGCGTATCTTGGACCCTTTACAGTTGACTTCAGAATAGTGAGTCACTAGTACGCAGTAAAACGTTTATACGCATGCTCAAAAAATTCGTCACGACAAAGCATCGAGGACAACACTGATCACTCTCTACCCCAGACCCCCATCATTCTTACTGCGCATGTGTGCTCTACAAAAGGCCGGGTCCAGAGTGGACGCTGATTCTGGAAATGATAAATGTTCGCAAAGTTTCCCATCACAGCATCAASGAAATATTTGGTCGTTTGAGTATGAACAGTATAAAAATTGAAATACGAGTAGTATGAAAATGTCAGCGCTTATTTAGCAGTGCTGGTGATATTTTTTTTCCATATGTACTTACCTTAGCCAGAGTTGATGAACGGGTTTCCCGTTTGCCGCCCAATTTTGAGCATGCGCACAACCTTTTATCAAAGCTTTGGCCATTTTCGCCAAAAAAAAAGTTCGACCTACTTGACAATAGGCTTTTTTATCACTAAATGTATTTTGTTCTTTGCAGGACGTGATTAAAGAATGGTGGAACTTGTGCAGAGAGAAAAACATTCCTGTTTCTGATAACTTTTCTCTGTCTTCGACCCTTGGGGACCCTTTGGTAACACGGTCCTGGCATATCGCTGGGCTTCCTGTGGACAAGTAAGAGTCAAAGTGGCAGAAGATGAGGAAGATAGCAAGTTCCATCTTTTTTTCCCTTCCATCTTTCGTTCATTCCTTCGTTCCTTTCTTCCTTCGTTCCTCCCTCAGCCCTCCCTAGCTCCCTCCCTAGCTCCCTCCCTAGCTCCCTCCCTAGCTCCCTCCCTAGCTCCCTCCCTAGCTCCCTCCCTAGTTCCCTCTCTAGCTCTCTCACTTTATTCCTTCCTTTTATTTCTCCAGTCTCCTTTTTTTCACTTCTTTCTTTCTTTCTAACTTCCTCATTTTTTCATTTTTCTTTATCTTTGCGTTGTCGTTTTCTTCATCTATTTGTTTGATTATCTGTTTCTCTAGTTTTCCAATTTTTTAATTTACGAACTTCTCTTATCATTCTATATTTTATTCATTTTAACATTTCTATTTTATTTCAATTTCCTTTTTTCTTCCAGTTTCTCGATCGACAACGCCATCATAGTATCGAATGCGCGTCGGTGGCCGCTCATGATCGACCCTCAAGGACAAGCCAACAAATGGATCAAAAACATGGAAAAACCAAACAAACTGCAAGTTATCAAGTTATCAGATGCTAACTACGTTCGAACTCTGGAAAATAGCATCCAGGTAAAACGGCTAGCAAGTCTGCGCCAAAAAAAAACACTTTAAGTGTTATCGATACCTTGAAACAACCCTCTTTAAAAATCGAAGTCAGGGCACACCGAATACTGCTCACACATGATCGGCAACCCAAGCCCCTAGAGGTGAGAGACGAGTGTACTACAGTTACGGCACCCTTGATTCCACACGAAGATGTGCCATAAGGACAAGATTATTTTGATTTTTTTGATTTTTTAGAAATCGTTTTTAATCAATCTTTTTGTCCGTTTTAATAGTTCGGGACTCCTGTGCTACTGGAGAACGTGGGTGAAGAGTTGGACCCGCTGTTAGAACCACTGCTGATTAGACAAACATTTAAACAAGTACGTATAAAGAGAACTGACGTAAACTAGTGAGAATAGGCCATATTGGAGGTCAAAGGAGTTACTGGCAAAATGATTGGTATTCCTCCAATATGGCGGCTTTGGCATCATTAATACCCCTAGAAAATATAAGCCAGTGAAAATTAATCGATAGCTCCGGGGCGACCTTTTGGTATCAAGTTGCATGACAAAAGAGACTAGCATCAAAAATATTTATCATTCCTCCAATATGGCGGGTGGCTTGATGTTTTATTTTGGTCTTGTGGTAGCCATATCTTAGTGAAGTGGTATTTTAGCGGTGGGTATGGTAATGGTGATAGAAGTTTAACATATTGACATCAGATTTTTATGTGTCTGTCCTCTTATTGACAATAAATTKCGTCAKCACATTGTCAAAGTAGYGTGGATCCACGAGGCGTAGCCGAGTGGATCCGCATACTACTTTGACAATGTGATGGCGAAATTTATTGTCAATAAGAGGACAGACACATAAAAATCTGATGTCAATTTGTTTTTTACAATAACAAAAACGATAAAAACTTCTCATTTTTACTGATCAAAACAACTAACGGAAAGAGCGCGCGCTCGTTGACGTCAGCTTTATCTGTCTGTCCTCTTATTGATGATAAAAATTAACCAATCAGCGCGCGAGAAATTTGTCAGTTATTGTAAAAAGTATTCTGGTATTCTGATGTTGTAAACTTGATATTTTATTGATTTTTCTTTGGTGTCTAGGGTGGTTTGGAGTATTTGCGCATGGGTGACCACGTGGTTGAGTTCAGCAAGGTAAGAAGACCTACATCAATCAGTCTATGAAAATAAACTTCCCATATAATAGTGGTGATTAATTTTCTTCATTATAGGATTTCCGTTTTTATATCACTACACGACAACGTAATCCTCACTATCTGCCTGAAGTTACCATCAAGGTACGTATTTTAATACCATCAGGACTCTGGATTGTGYACTATGGACTCTGGACTCTGGAATCTAAATTTGGGACTCTAAATCATGGACTTTGGATCCTGAAATCTGGATTCTGGATCCAGGAATCGAGTTCTTAGACTCCAGATACCGGACTGTGGATCGTGGACTCTGAGTTTTGGACTCTGAATTCTGGATTCTAGAACATAATTTCGGGACTCTGGATCCTGGACTTTGAATCCTATGCTCTGGATCCTAAAATATAGTTCGTGAATCCTAAATTTCGGACTCTGGATTGTGGACTCTGGATCATAGAATCTGGTTTCTGGACCGTCTGAATTCTGGAATCTAAATTTGGGACTCTGGATCCTAGACTCTGGATCTTAAAATATAGTTCGYAAATTCTAAATTCTGGACTCTGGATTGTGGACTTAAGAATCTGCATTCTGAAAATTGAATCAAAGAGTATAATTTTCATATTCTGCGATCTAGAATGACGTATTTYGCATTCCATATTTTGCATTCAATTTTAATCCTTTTAAATTAATCTTTTCCACTTTCTTTATTCGTCTGTTCTTTAATGTGCCTTTATCTCTAGGTAACCTTGCTTAACTTCATGATCACTCCTCTCGGTCTCGAGGACCAGTTACTCGGTATTGTCGCTGCCAAAGAAAAACCTGAGTTGGAAGAAAAGAAGAATGAGCTGATCCTGGAGAGTGCTAAGAATAAGAAACAGGTAAAGAATTAAAGATAATAATTTCCTTTARATATTTCTTCAATAATTGAACGTAAACTTTGTATTGGCCATTTTAATAAAGAAAGTCAGTTCGTAATTACTTTAGGAATATGAAAAYAAAAAAACGTGGATGAAACAAAAAAGTAGTAAAAATGTAAAAAAGTAAAAAAGTAATAAAAAAGTAGTAAAGTCATGACTCCCACGAACAAAGAAACTCTTATACTTTAAATATGTTATTTCCGCTTTTATGAGATGAYGTCATGTTATTATGAAGTCATTTCCTTTCTTATGCAAAGAAATTTTTCAGCTATTAAACGCACATGACGGGCAGGTACTGCTAATATATATCAAGCAATAGTCACAAGAGGGCAGGTTACTTTTCAAAATGGCTGCCACTTTGAGGCAATGGGATAATCTACATAGCACTCAGTTGATCATCTTGATGTAATGTATTCAGAAAATGTATTGTCTTCTATCGTCATTCTATCTATTGTATTAGGTGTGATTCATTGTATTTTTATGAATACATTACATTAYCTGCTTGCTACGTAGGCTCTCCCTTGAGGCAATAGCCAACTTCCGAAATATGCTTCGCTTGTCACGCACAAAGGTTTCAATGCTWGGCTTTGTGCATAATGCTCAGTAATTCGTGATAGGAGTAAAGAATAGATTTAATTTGGCACGTAGCCTCGTACTAAAACCCTTGTTTGTGACAAGCGAAGCATATCTCGGAAGTGGACTATTTTTTTAAAAAACATAAACAAGCTCCAGAAATAAGATGTACATACTGAATCACTAGCTTTGTTAATCTAAATTTCACTTAATGGTTTCAGTTAAAAGATATTGAAGACAAGATTCTAGAGGTTTTATCGACCAGTGAAGGAAATATCCTTGAAGATGAGACAGCGATAGAGGTGAGACAGAATTAAGCTGCTAAGAAGTTTGTTTCAATTAGTAATGTGATACACTTCTTTCGCACAGGTTTTGTCGTCCAGTAAAAAGCTCTCCCAGGAAATATCCGAAAAGCAGGAAATTGCCTCGAAGACCGAAATGGAGATCGATGAAACAAGAGGAGGCTACAAACCGGTGAGCCTTCCTTCCTTCCCTCCCTCCCTCCCTCCCTCCCTCCCTCC